GGTTTGTAGTTATTCAACCTTCAGTTTGTGCTGAGAGTCCTGCTCCTCATGTGGTCCGGTCTGAGTCCTGCTCCTCATGTGGTCCGGTCTGAAACCTGCTCCTCATGTGGTCCGGTCTGAGACCTGCTCCTCATGTGGTCCGGTCTGAGACCTGCTCCTCATGTGGTCCGGTCTGTTTCCTGTTCCAGGCTCCAACTACTACGTGCGCATCCTGAGCACCATCGACAGGGAGCTGCTGAAGCCCAACGCCTCGGTGGCTCTGCACAAGCACAGCAACGCCCTGGTGGACGTGCTTCCTCCTGAGGCCGACAGCAGCATCATGATGCTGACGTCAGGTACGCTGCGCCCCGCGGCCCGCCGGGTCAGAGACAGAACCGCAGACTGACCTGCTGTCCCTGTTTCAGACCAGAAGCCTGATGTGATGTACGCTGACATCGGAGGGATGGACATCCAGAAGCAGGAGGTCAGAGAGGCTGTGGAGCTGCCTCTCACTCACTTTGAGCTCTACAAGCAGGTCAGGACAGCTCACCTCATGTTCTACAGCTGGCTTCTCAAACCGTTTGGGTCCGGGGACCCCTTTAAAAGGGTGAAGAAAATTACAGGGACCCCCTCATAAACCCCATGCTGTTTTAAAAGATTATTTTTTGTCATTTCAACCCCTAAATGTCATGAGAATATATATTTTTATCAAGTTTATTGTGTTTGTTTTATTAGTTCATTGTTAGGGACACTGAGACACAGAGAGAGGCAGGGACACGGACACAGAGACACTGAGACTCTGAGACAGGAGACAGAACTGGACGTGTCAGAGCTGAAGATGAAGAGACAAGGATGGAGAAGATTAGGACTGAGAGACCAGACTGAGATGGTTTGAACATGTCCAGAGGAGGGACAGTGTTGTTATGGGACATGTCCAGAGGAGAGNGACAGTGTTGTTATGGGACATGTCCAGAGGAGAGACAGTGTTGTTATGGGACATGTCCAGAGGAGAGACAGTGTTGTTATGGGACATGTCCAGAGGAGAGACAGTTGGACCAAATGATCAGGGTTGGACTGATGTGTTGTTTTGTTCCTCAGATTGGTATCGACCCACCCAGGGGTGTCCTCATGTACGGACCTCCAGGCTGCGGGAAAACCATGTTGGCCAAAGCTGTGGCCCACCACACTACAGGTGAGACATTTGTCCAACTCTCACCTGTCTCTGACCTGTCTCTGAGCCTGTCTGTCTCTGAGCCTGTCTGTCTCTGACCTGTCTCTGACCTGTCTCTGAGCCTGTCTGTCTCTGAGCCTGTCTGTCTCTGAGCCTGTCTGTCTCTGACCTGTCTCTGAGCCTGTCTGTCTCTGACCTGTCTCTGACCTGTCTCTGACCTGTCTCTGACCTGTCTCTGAGCCTGTCTGTCTCTGACCTGTCTCTGACCTGTCTCTGAGCCTGTCTGTCTCTGAGCCTGTCTGTCTCTGAGCCTGTCTGTCTCTGACCTGTCTCTGAGCCTGTCTGTCTCTGAGCCTGTCTGTCTCTGACCTGTCTCTGACCTGTCTCTGACCTGTCTGTCTCTGAGCCTGTCTCTGAGCCTGTCTCTGAGCCTGTCTCTGAGCCTGTCTCTGAGCTGTCTCTGAGCCTGTCTCTGACCTGTCTCTGACCTGTCTCTGACCTGTCTCTGACCTGTCTCTGAC